TCAAGAGGGTAGGGGACCTGCACACATTTTCGGTCGACGATTCGTGCCTAGAGTTTGGGCCGGCTGACTCCCAGGTAATCCTGAGGCCCCGGCTGGCTATGTGCCCAAGCTTCCCACTACTCCCTTCAGGGATCACGTGGTGAGCCTGCAAGCGCTGCCCCCGGATGAGGCAGACCCAGCCCTAGCTTTGCTCTGTCCTGTTTAAGCCTTTAGAGGCTACGTAGGCCGGACACAAAGCTTTACGACCTCAGACCAGCTCTTTGTCTGTTACGGAGGCCGGCAGAAGGGGAATGCCATCTCTAAGCAGAGGATGGGCCACTGGACAGTGGATGCAATCACCCAGGCTTATCAGGCACAGGGTGTGCCCTGCCCGCTCAGGTTGCCAGCTCACTCTACTAGGAGTGTTGCATTCTGCTGGGCGCTGGCTCGTGGCGCCTCGCTGACAGATACTTGTAGAGCTGTGGGCTGGGTGACCCCCATGTTCGCTAGATCCTATAGCCTTCGTGTGGAGCTGGTATCCTCCTGTGTTCTCACCTCAAATGGGTAGAGGCCCTGAGAGGCCCCGGTTTAGTGTCGGCTTGCTAGAAATTTCTCCAGAGTGTCTGTACTGTAGACCCTGTCGAGCTCCTCCATCCCCTTGGCAGCCAGATGTGGCGGAACGTCCGGCGCCAGGCCCTCACTCGCTGAATCCGTGAGAACCGGTAGAGGCCTAAGTGGTTCTCATATGTGTAAAGTCCATGGTATAGCCTCAGAGCCCGTGTTTCCCCGGCAGACTTCTGCCATTTCCATGAGGGTTACAATCACCTCTAATCTTCCATATGCACCTAAACGGATGTAATATGTGTAAGTGCTTCCGAAACCTCCTTCGGGAAGGATGGGGCTTCCGCAAGGTTCCTGTTCCAAGTGGAATGGGTACGTTTTCCCAGTGTTATCCAATCTCACTGAGTGGGTAGTGCTATGACAACAGTGACTGGTCTTGTTGTTGCGAGCCCCGGCCTACACCACAAAGGGGTGCAGGCGGATCGCACAGGACACTGGAAGGGGCAACATCCATGGTGCTTTGGTAGAGATCCCAATTCGTGACCGACTGAAAGGGAATGTCTCGGTTACGTATGTAACCCTCGTTCCCTGAAGGAGGGAACGTAAACGTCACGTCCCGTCGCCACGGCTGCTGTACCACCGCTGAGCGGTCGGGTCACTGGCTCGGCTCCTCAGCGAAAACCTGGTATGCATTGCACCGGCTGCCTTTTTATGCTCACGCTGTGATCAGCGGCAGCTGGATGCAATAATTGCATGCCAATGTGCATTAGCTCGTTTGGTTACACTCGAAGTAGATTGGTCTCTCGAAGCGAGATCCCAATTCGTCGGTCACTGACATGACGTCTCCGTTCCCTCCTTCAGGGAACGAGGGTTACATACTTAACCGAGATGTTCCCATTACTTGTCTTTATTTGCACTGAGCAATTTACTTGCACAAGCCTCACTTCTTCTGAACATGCTGTACATTTATTTATTATTACATTTATTTGCCTCTCTGTGCCCACATACTGTATTTTGATGCAGCTAAATTCTCAATAAAATTGTTTTCATTTATATATTTTACTGTTTCTGTTGTCAGACAACGGAATGAATATGAACTAGTGACTGAAATGCGACCTATTAAGTAGCACGTACACAGGTATTTTTATAAACGAGTTTTTCCTTCTTCCGTTTAAAAAAAAATGTTCGTCCACATGAAAACGCAAACTCATGCTATGAAGCAAGAGCATGCCAAACCAACAGGTGGCGATATAATCTCAACCGTAAAGCCATGTTGGCCAATCAGAAGTCTGAAAAAGTTTCTAGTAGGCGGAGATAACAGCGCATGCTCCGACGTCACAAGCCAAAAACTCAGGTTTCGGCGATAACACTACACGATAACACTGAAACCGGAGTTTTTGAAAATCTTCACACTGGCATGCGTTTTCAAAAATGTTCGGTTTCAGTGAACTAGTGCTGCGTTTGCGTGTGGACGAACAGCCTAATCGCGTAGAAAAAGCTGCGGTTTTAAAGTGGTCATATGATGCGATTTCAATTTTTCCTTTCTCTTTGGAGTGTTACAAGCTCTTGGTGCATAAAGAAGATCTGTAAAGTTGCAAAGACTAAAGTCTCAAATCCCGTTTGATCATTAAAGACTGTGAATTGAAGTTATCTCCGTGTTTCCTCGTTCCTCGCTCCTTGCCTCCAGAGAAGTGTGACAGAAGGACCGACCAAAACAGTAACTTCCGTGTTTTCCCCTCTGTTTGTTTTCCGTTTTTTTCTCAGTGTTTTTCTTTCTGTTGTGTCCCCATGGATCCCTTCACTCGCCCCGAATTCCTCCTCCTCCTGCTGGAGCAGGGAGACAAAGCTCTCGAGGACCATACCAAACTGTTCCTGTTGGTCGCGAACATCACCAGCTATCCGGACGATGCGCTCTGCTCTTTCTATGATGCAAGCCTGAACGCCGAGTGCAGAGCGCTGTCGTCCGAAGATGGTCCTCGGGAGGAATTCGCCGCCTTCGACGACTCTGGCGAGAAACGGGTTGCCACTCACCATGTTGCCCGTGGAGGATCTTGCCGGATCCACTCCGGACCCAGAGCCCAGCCCACCATCTCCCCACGGTATGGCGCATCAGCCTGAGCCCACCAATGACGGAGAGCCATTTCCCGCCGCGATCCGCGAGCCAGAGTGAAGCCAAGCGACTTTGCAGAGGATCGCCTCGGAAGTTGAGCCCAACCCGTCAGACCAGGTGCGAGACCCGGTGACAGTACCCACCACGAGGGAGCAAGCCATGGACGGTGTGAGCGTGGAGAGGAGCTCCACCCCCTGCATCATGGCTGAGAGTGAGCAGACTATGGCGGGACATAAGTGCCAGAACGAAGAGGTGAGGGCTCCAGCCCCCGAATCCAGTTCAGAGTGCCCTCCAATGCCTGCTCCTAGAACGCACCTTGCTGTGCCTGCTCCTCCAGAGCGCCCTCCAGTGCCAGCACCTCGTAAGCGCTTCCCTGATCCCCAGTTCAGCCCAGGAGGGGCTCCTGATCCCCAGTTTAGCCCAGGAGGGGCTCCTGATCCCCAGTTTAGCCCAGAAAGGGCTCCTGATTCCTCGTTTAGCACAGGAAGGGCTCCTGATCCCCCAATTCAGCCCAGGAAGGGCTCCTGATTTCTCGTTAAGCCCAGGAAGGGCTCCAGCCAAAGAGCTCTCTCCAGTGCCCACTCCTCAAAAATGCCCGCCATCCCACCCGCTCCAGCCTCCTCCACCGCTGTCAGCTGGCAGCCCCTCTGCTCGCCCTCAGCCCACCATCATTGCGGTGCGAGCCCCGCGAGACTGCCATCCTCCAGCATCACCGTGGTTGGAGTCTCCCTCACCTCCGCCTCCAGCCTCCGAGGCCTGGACTCAGCCTCGCCCGTAGACCCAGTGGCTCCACCTCGGCTCCTAGCTCCCTCGCCTCCACCGTCACCCATCGATCCATCAGCTCCACCGGGCTCCCTCGTCCCTCCAGCTCCGCCTTGGTCGGGCGTCGACCAGCCATCGCCTCTGCACTCCACTCCTCTGGCTGCGCCTCGTCGCTCTGTCCCACCGGCTCCATTGGGCTCCTTCCTCCCGCCAGCTCCACCTTGGTCCTCAGATGCTCCAGCTCCGCCGCGAATCTCCGCCTCCGCCTTGGTCGCCAGAGTGTTGTGTTTTCCCAATCACCCAGTGTTTAAAAGCCCCAGTCCTTTCAGTTAGTGTTTTGTCGGTCCTCAAACATCATTCCTTGTGTTCCAGTGTCTCCTATGTTCCCCGTGTGATCATTAAAGATCATTAAAGTTATCTCCGTGTTTCCTCGTTCCTCGCTCCTTGCCTCCAGAGAAGTGTGACAACCATACGGAAATATTACTGTTTGTGGGCGGGCAAGTTGGTGACGTAGAACGTGGGCGGACATTATGCAAATGTTTTACTTCGTGAGTATAGTCCTAAACAGAATAAGATTTGAATTCCTGACGACTCGTTTAGGCGATTGTCAGCCGACTCACTCTTTTTTTGATAGACAATAACTTTATTTATCGTGCAATGTCGGCTTCACAACTTTGCAAATAATTTATGTTCACATACAGCTACATGACACACTGCATGAAAGGTCATATTCGAAAAGGCATAATAGGGGCACTATAACATGAGGTATAACAACCCTCTAACACTAGCAATCTCTATTCTTTTTTTCCAATTAGGCTACATGTTTTATTTTTGTTTATTGTAAACAATAATAACTTGACCCTCTAACACTAGCCCTCTCTATTCTATCTACTTTTCATTCTTTATATTTATTGTATAAAAAAATCACTTGCTACATGTAGTGCATTAGACTAACTGGGACTTGATACAGCACTTACATTTTGTTGCTCTTTTGTAGATTTGATTGCTTATATTGTCCTTATTTGTAAGTCATTTTGGATAAAGGGGTCTGCTAAATCAGGGGTTTTCAAACCTGGAGACACCCCTGCCCTGCACATTTTGTATGTCTCCCTTATCAGACACACCCAATTCAGGTCTTGCAGTCTCTACTAATGGTGTATTAGATGAGGGAGACATACAAAATGTGCAGGGCAGGGGGCCTCCAGAACAGGTTTAAAAACCCTGATGCCAAACGATTAAATGTAAGTGTAAGATGCTGCACAACAGAAGTGTATTAAAACATTAATTAAATATTATCATCATTAAGAATGACAGTGCAGGCTATACAATAAGAATATATTTCTAACATAATAAAGCAAACTTTTATTTTGACGGTTTGTCAAGAAGGTCTTTGAGTTTCACTTTCAGTTTAGCCTAAGATGATGGCAATTTTTCTCAAATGAAATGGTTAAAAGTTCGTGAATTGACTCTCAGAAGAGCTCTGAAGATGAAGTTCCTGTGGACTGTCCTCATACATTGAGACGGAAATGAAACAGGAAGGAACAGGGAGAACAGAGTAAGAAAGAGATGAGAAGAAATAGATATTTACGATATCCGTGCGCAAAGATGTTGTATTAAACGCCTCCTTCAGATCACCAGGACGTCTAGGATTCAAACTGAAACAACATGATATAAAACCATCAAAATCTTTAGCCATCATTCGAGAGCCATCATACTGAATCCATATATAGGCTAAGAGACTGACGTGCCTTTCCTTCTCCAGCGAAACCCAGCCATGGTTGACGTCACATGAGAAATTTCCCCTGCTAAAAGGCTTCTTCATGTTTTCTGGCAAACAGAAGAACTTCTTTGAAACACCCATGACTTTGTCCACCTAAAACAGTAGAAATAAATATTAGTCTGCCAGCTACAAACAGCTAGGGCCTAGAGAACAAGCAGAAAGGTCCATTACAAAAAAATTTTTTGCATATGCATGATGCATATAGGTGATTTATCAACATATAATACCATGCAAATCATTTAGCTAAATATTAGCCTGAATTGGTAAGCAAGCTAGGTTTTTCCAAAATGGCAGCTATGGGGCAAAGTGAGTCAAATGATGTGGGGTAAATTGAGCCAGCATTTTACCTTACCCCACCATAAAGCACTGAATTAAAGTTAAATCTCTGAAGTATAAACTGGTATTTTAATGTGATATTACACAACTGATTTAGTTTGTCATATATATATATATATAGAGAGAGCGAGAGAGAGAGTTTTTTTAATTTAATTTTACTCAACAAACTCGGTTTAGTCTGTTTTTGGGAAGATTACAACTTTGGTGTTCAACATATTGTTTCAGAAATATAAACAATTAAATATTTAAATTTAAACTTCACTTGGTTGGTTTTATGTTGTTTAAGTTAGTTTTAAGAAAAGAAATACGACTGTTTGAAAAAGGAAATTTTATTATTAAATTAGTTTTTAAAAAAGGTAAATTATCTTAAAATTTCACATAGGTTTGAATCAGATTCAGTCAGATGGTCAATTTACACTCAGATGGTGCATCTTACCCACTGACTTGGGTCAACTTACCCCCACCCTGGGGCAAATTGAGCCACACTTGAGAAACACTTTTTCATAAGAAGCCATATTTTTAGAATCCTTAGATACATTCTGATCATTTAAAATGATAGGAAACATCCTGAAATTACTTTAGATACTTTTATTGTACTTCTGCATCATTTTTCCTTATGGGGACCACATAAGTAAAAAATGGCTCATCTTATCCCACGTTCCCATACTGTGTTTTTTATACTAAATTATGGGGAAAAAAACTGTTGCAGTGGTGCAAAACTATTAACTTTTTACCACAACAAGAATAGCAATGTAGAAAGAATTCCAAGATTTACTAGTCATTACTTTTATAAATACTGGCAACTGCAATTATTTATAAGCCTATTATATTTCAAATATTTTTCTATTAATCTGTTAGCCTGCATTGCTTGAACAATTGTTTTGCTCCCATTCGAAAATGAATCCTGCATTTATGAGGGATTTAGGCTGTCACTCCTGAAACGTTGCTGCTTGTACAGGGTATGGCCATTAGCAGCACAAAAAACAAAACTTCCTTTATAATTAATGTGTCTCTTATTTACATCGTGCTATATTGAGGAGTCCAGAGTTTAGAGTGAACGCAATGCCCAATCACAGGTGTTCAAGAAATCATCAGATATGTCTGTGTTTGGCTACATTGCTCAGCGCTACGAAAACACGTTGTAAAGAGTCTTGACGCTTTCCAGAGAGCAAACAAGCACTGGAGCCTTTACCAAATTTGTTTCGCCAATATCCTATTTTAACTGAGGGTGCTTTTGACTGCGTGAGAAAAGTGTCAATTGCGTGAGTTGGCAGCCCTATTATTATAAAATGAAATTAAAAATAATCAAAATGACAAACCTCGTCCTGGTTTATGCCCGTATTCTTGAGATAAACAAATCCCACCTCGGTAAAGGCCCTTCTCAGTTCGTCACTTAACTTGTTCAAGTTATCATCTGACACATTGGTCTTTCCCAGTTCGTAGACACTAAAATCCGTGACAGGTATCTCCATACTGAGTTATTTTACCTTGAGACAGCAAACGTCAAAGAATTACTTTGAAATTCTTTCTGAAATCGGATAGAAAATACGACAAGTCTCTTCGCTTCGTTTATCAACGCAGCACAGCCCGTTCTGCGAAACAATTATGTGAAACCATCACGTCGCTTCCGCTCTGCCCCGTTTGTGTACCGTTAACTATAACCAGAGTGCGAATTACGGGGAGTTTGAGGGGGTCTGATGGACGTAAACTAGATGTAAGGGGTGGGGGATTCGGATAGAATGAAGATTTACTTGTAAGATGCATTTTATATTGCTCTAATTTTAAATTGTAATTTTGGCAGCCGCAATTGATATTCTGGTCACTTGAAGTAAATACGCTAACGCGTATTCAAGGACGTGCATTTTTGGCTTGGACGGAATTAACTCTTTCAAACAATAACGTGCGGATTCAGTCCAGTAGCCTAATAAAAGTTTACCCTCTTTAAAGCTGCTAAACTGAATTTACGAAGCTAACTATTTGCTAAAATAACCATCAAATTAACACCAACACTGAAAAGTGCCTGCTGACAGTCAGATGCGCGTGAAAGTTGCATGTGCTACCAAACACTGCATGTTTTCTTTTAGAATCATCATTGGCTGGTAGAAAGAAAAAAATAGGTTACATAAAAGTTTTTTACTTAAAAATGAAGGGCGGATAATTATGGGGAAAAAATAGTAATTGTCAAGGAACCGATACATCGCAAGTGTATAAACGTTGCAAATGCACTTATAGGCCTATTTAAACATGTTTGTCAACAGAATCTAAAAAAAAGATTTTAAACAAATCAATGAGTGATTTTTTCACCCACTGCTTTGAAACTGATATCTGTTTGACACGATTCAAGTTCAAGGCACAAATAACCCTATGCAAGGAGCGTTCTTTAGAACCTCTGCACAGAGACAAGCCAGCTGGTAAACTTCCGGTGAAGCTCATTTTAAATGCGCTAAATAGGCCTTAGGTAGAGACCCTCACAGAAACCTCTCCTGCCTCATTCTTATCATAAACTGAGAAACAAAATAATTGCAACACCGTAAATAATGATAGCAGCATTAACATACAGTTTGGTGTTAATTAACAACATATGATTTTATATGATGAGCCTGGTAATCCCAGGAGAGTACCCAGACACGTAACTGTACATTTAAATGCTGACAAATAACTGTTTAGGCTAATGGTTAGGCAAATCTTAAACAACATCATAATGGTATTCTTGATAATCAATATCTTACCTTTATAGCCATGAACGCATTTTTCAAATCTTATAAAAATTTAAAGCCTTTATTATTTCTCAACTCTACAGCTGTGCACCTAATTAGGTTCACTTTTCATTTATGAAGACCAGGCACGGATTAACGCACAGGCTTGCCTAGGCTGCAGCCTAGGGGCCCCTGGATTGGCCAGACTATTATTATTATTATTATTATTATTTTTAATTTACTTAAGCGCGAACAAAAAAAAGAGCCACATTGGCCCATAAGAAACATTAAAGGAGGACTTGTTGAAGAACGTCTGATTAAATGTCTTATAGAATTCACGCTCAGCACTGCCTACAGTAAAACGCGCATGCACATTCAAAAGCGATTTTAATACCTTGTGCTTTGAGAGCGACTCCCTGATGTGCGCAAATTAGGCTACATACTAGGCTGTTATTAGTATGTAGGCTATAATAGGTTGTGTAGTTGTCTAGCTCTGTATCATGCTTGAAAAATGTGGTCTCTATTTGCACTTTTTGAATATTTGAGAGAGTAGGGTAGCCTACTTTGATTATGGCTGCACTTACTGTTTGCACTTAAGACTAAGAAACAACTGTTTCTATTTCTATGTGCAATTTGTGAAAAGAAGTTCTGTTAGGAGGTCAAACGTTCTAATTCAATACTCAATAGCATGAGTTTGTTTCAGTTTGGCATACTGCGCAAAAATTTACATTGGCGTGCATATGATACGCAATGGGTAGGATTAGGGTTGTGGGGTAGATGCGTATCATATGCACGCCAACAAATTTCGTATCATATGCGCGCGAAAACTGAGAATTATATGCACGCCAAAGTCAAAATGTGTAAAAATCTCGCCTCGTTCTCGTGAACCTAATCTCATGTTGTCTCGTCTCTTGAGTTAAGTGTCGGCGTTAATGATAATAAAACAACAAAAGACGAGGAGAAAATCACTCCCTGCTTTTGACAGAATAGCATTTCTAGCTTTTATAAAAATGTATAACCACCTTAATCCACCCCTGTTAACAGCATAAGGGCAGATCCCTTTAGCGCAGCTGATGATGCTTTGAAGTGATGCTTGAGTGGTCAAGAATATTCAACTATACAAAATAACCATTCCTTTGACTACTCTGTCCTTATTTCCCCCCCTTGCACCCTTCCCTCATAGCCTAATTGGGGTGGAGCGTGCTAGGAAAGGAAGCGAGGAAAGGAAACGAAACGAGGATGCACAAATAAAAATAGAGAAGCAGTATCTCAGAAATGCACACTGCCACAGTCGATCATGTTCTAATAAAGTGCAGAGGATGAGACAGAAAGACAGATCATTCTTAGAATTAGCAGTACAGCATTCATTGAAAAATCTGTTAAATAAAGATGCAATATAGTGTTTGTGCACGGGATCAATTTTAAATGTGTTTAACATTAATGCTTAATATTATTAGTATTTTTAAAATGTGTTAGGCTATTTTTTTTTTATTTACGCTTATTCTTTTTGCTCCGTGAACATTGCTATTCTGAAAGCATGCTTTCATTTTAAAATTTTGTGCAATCTATTTTTACTCGCGTTTTTATATTTTGGTTTCGGCAATACTTTTGGCTGAAAACTGATCCCATAAGTGTTCTGTTGAACGAGGATGTATGCATGAGGTTGTATTACAGCCAGTGCCGATCCTAGACTTCTGGGGGGTGGGAGGGTTGGCGCAAGACTGTACAAAATACATGATTTGACTGATTTTTACGTAGAAAGGGCGACAGCGCACCGCATTAAAATAAATGACCATTCATGCTTTCGTAACCGCTGGCCAAATTCAAAAACGAAACTAAAATGAAATCATCTTTGAGAGCAAGGGGGCCCCCTGGTGTTTCGGGGGCCCTATGCAGCTTGCGTATTTTGCGTATAGGGAGGATCGGCTGATTACATCGGAGAATTCAAATCTCATGAAAGAGCTTCTGCGCTGTCAGTTCAGCTCTGTAAATGTTACGGTCATCTTTAAGTCTGTAAGCATGTCCGTAACATTATAAATATTGTTAAATTTAATATGACAAAGCGTTTCTGCGCGGAACGCCGCAATGAGTTTAACAACACTCGCTTCGCGGATCAGTTCCAGACCGGAGCAAGCGTGTTTCAAGTTTTGTGAATATATTTCATATTGTCTCTTGCTCCTGTCAACCCTCCCGTTTCCCCCGGGATTCCCTCGTATTTTAGGCCATCCCAGATAGGCTAGCACACGTACGTCGCGGAGACGTCTGTGAAAGATCGTAGCATCTGGTAAACATCGCAATCGATCGAACATTTTCAGTTGTTAATGAGCCGTCTTTTTACCTCTATACGACGTCTATACGATGAATCTTCAACATTTGAAATTACGTGCTGCCACGCAGCGCCGGATCGGAGCAAGCTGATGAATGAGTAAAACTCGGTATTTTAACGCAACACCATGTCACACCAGACGCGACCGTTGGTGCAAAGACCTTGGACTACACCAGAAATAGAACGAGGAATCATTTTACTGACGGGGATTTGTCGAGCCGCGCCGCTTTGTGATTATTCTTTCCCGGTATCATAGCGTTTAAATATGTTCCCGTATTTCTGCCGTATTTTTAATCTTTCTATAAAAAAATCCCACTGGGCAAAGGCTATTTTATATGTTTGCTACATTCGCCTCCGGTAAAACTCCCGTAATGTGTATGGCCCAATTAGCATAATCACGTCAACAAATTCCAAGGTTGCCCGGTTGCCAGATCTTGTATGAAACGCATCCTTCTCACACAATCGACACAACTTGGCAACCTACAACATGATGACTACCGCGAAAGGAAAGGATCTGGTAGAAATGGGACGGGAGGAGCTCAGGTGGTGCTCCGGTGAAAAAAAAACATATACATGCAAAGTGAGATACAGCTTACACTTCAAAAGCCTGGTTTAATTGATTAAATATGAGCGCTGCAAGTTGCAAAATCAGGTGCTGCGCTGCTGGTTACCGGGGAAATGGCTATCCTCCTGGCGAAAAGCGAAATAATGAAGAGAGAACGAATTTGCATTTTTCAATAAGCCCTTTTTGACTTTGACTAAAACAAAAAGCAGAAGCTTGTTTTAGTCAAAGTCAAAAACGACCCTTATTTTTACGCAGAAAATACGCAGTTTTTGATATACACGCAGTTTAAATAATTGGTTTATAATAATTGTTTAATATAATAAATTAATATAATACTAATATAATATAATAGATACGTTTTTGATACAGACCGCAGTTCCCTGTTGTTCTACTGAAGCTCATTTGGCACCTGTAGCTCACCTTTTCTGCGCTCTGGTGCTGAGTGCAAGCTGAAGTGCGCGTCTGAAAAGTCTCCCGTTTGTTGAGGTCGCAAAGAGATACGGCCGTTCCGCGTCTTAATACGTTTTTAATTAATACCTTTTTGAACTCATTAAAATGCTAAAAACCGTTAAATACATTTTTTTTTGCAATACTGTTTTTCATTAACTAAGCTTTTTATTATTTATTACATTTTTATTAAAGAAGATTTTCACAGAATGATTTTGGCAAAATGTGTGGCGCCCCTGTGCACTGCCCTACTGCATACCCCGTTTTTGCGCCACTGGCAATGCCACAACGGATTAATGCACAGCAAAATTAGACCGAAAATTCAAAGAAGAGTAAACAAAAAGTAACTGCCTTTATTGTTTCTGTTTTAAATATATTTTAATATGAATTTGTCTGGATAATGATCGTGTTGTAGGTCTGTGTTTTATTGGTTGTTTTCTCCCCTCTTCACATTTCCACAGTTTTACAAGCCCATTTCTGGAGTCTTTTCAGATCTAAGGTGTGAAAGACCAGTGCTGAAACAGGGGGGTTTCATTTGTTTGGTTTGACACTTTAATACGTTTTTCCCCCTCAACATCAACACACTCCATCACATAGGCGGCGGAATATGCACCAAAAGCGGGTTTGCCAACAACCATAAAACGTCAAAGAAGAAGACGAGCAAGAAGAAGAAGAAGAATATTTTGTTGCGCATGCCTTATAACGGGCTGTACTGATAAACAAAACGAAGATTCTTGGGGATATTTTCTTCCCGATTTCAGAAAGAACTTTAAAGTAATTCTTTGACATTTGCTGTCTCAAGGTAAAATAAATCAGTATGGCGATACCTGTCGTGGATTTCAATGTCTACGAATTGGGAAAGACAGATGATAGGTTGGAGAAGTTAAGTGAGGAACTAAGAAAGGCCTTTACCGAGGTGGGATTTGTTTATCTGAAAAACACGGGCATAAATCAGGACGAGGTTTGTCATTTGTTTAAACATGCCTGTTTCTTACAAATAGTTATATTGTTTGTAGCTGACTAATGTTCATTTCTGTTTAAGGTGGAAAAAGTCATGGGTGTTTCAAAGAAGTTCTTCTGTTTGCCAGAAAACATGAAGAAGTCTTTTAGCAGGGGCACTTTCTCATGTGATGTAAACCACGGCTGGGTTTCGCTGGAGAAGGAAAGGCACGCCAGTCTCTTATGTAGCTAGATTCAGAAGTATTAGGCTTACTAAATATTGCTCGCGAACGATGGCTAAAGATTTGAATGGTTTTATATCCTGTCATTTCACAGTTTAAATCCTCGACGTCCTGGTGATCTGAAGGAGGCGTTCAATACAACATCTTTGCGCACGGATATCGTAAATATCTATTTCTTTTCATCTATTTCTTTCTTTCCTTCTCCCTCTTTCTTAGTGTTTCATATGGAGTGTGTCATAGAACCCACCGTCTCAATACTACCGCCAAATGCAAAGTGAAACTAAAAGATCTTCAGGACAACCTGTCAAAATAAGTTTAGTTTAACTCGTGATGGAAATATTAGAGCAATTCCAGCTTTACGGACGTGACATTCGCAGGCAAAACATGAAATATAAATTCTGATAGATTCATTAATAAATAATATATTGAACTTAGTGCTGTCAAACGATCGCGATTAATCGCATCCAAAATAAACGTTTTTGTTTACATAATATGTGTACTGTGTTTATTACGTATATAAATACACACATAAGTATATATTTTGAAAATATGTATATATATTTATATTATAATATTTTATATTCTATATAAATATATTTAATATATAAACATATTTAAAAAAATATTCATGCATGTGTTTGTATTTATATATACATTATAAATATAAAAAAAATATACACAGTACATACTCATGTATTATGTAAACAAAAACTTTTATTTTGGATGCGATTAATCGTGATCGACAGCACTAAATTCTCTTTATATTTTTCTAAACACCTGAAAATAGTCCAGACATTATAGAAAAGCATTAGTCTATAAATGTGTTTTATATTTTACACATGCGTTACGAACGTGGAAAAAAACAAACAAACAAAAAAGACCAGAGTTTTTGGGAAACAACATATTTTTTTGACTTTCTGTGATTTACAATGCACAAACCAGAAGCAAAATATAATATATACATTTTATTTACATTTTTATTAAATTTTTTTTCAGAAGAAAATTCAATGTTACGGATTTGACAGTTCTCCTCTATGCCCCGCCTTTCTGAAACGCGTCGATTTTTACAAAGCTCATCGTTCTGAAAAACGACAAACAAAAAAGACCAGAGTTTTTGGGAAACAACATATTTTTTTGACTTTCTGTGATTTACAATGCACAAACCAGAAGCAAAATATAATATATACATTTTATTTAAATTTTTATTAAATTTTTTTTCAGAAGAAAATTCAATGTTACGGATTTGACAGTTCTCCTCTATGCCCCGCCTTTCTGAAACGCGTCGATTTTTACAAAGCTCATCGTTCTGAAAAACGAGGTGTGCTGTGATTGGCCAGCTATCCAGTGCGTTGTGATTGGCCGAATACCTCAAGCCTGTGATGGAAATGTTACACCCCTCACTATACTGTGATGGCGTGTCCGGCCAGATCGACGAGACAAAAACATTAAAACCCATTATAAACGAGGAATTCGTTGCATCCAGTGGGGACATAATTATGGATTATAATGACTTATACTGTCTTTTTACACGTTGCGTTGCATCGCGCTGCATAAACATAAAACCATGTCTGCATTTGTGATCAGAGAAATGACAAACAACAAGCCCTACTCCACACTGACCAAAACTCGTGTTTGAATCGTCAGTGGCAAATTCTTAAAATATAAAAAACGTACTTACAGTCTGTGAGTCAGAACAGCCGGCATTGTCGTCTACTCTTCCGGGATCAGGAAACAGTCCTCCATAAAATGCACTGCACACATCTGAATATTTGGGTTGAAGTGTTCTGGAACAGTGTGGTAAATACAGCTTAAGCACTGATTTCTAGTCGTGTCCTCTTTTAGAAGGCCAAACAAAGTAGTTTCGCTTTCACAACGAAACACAGCATCACACACGGCGGGCTAGAGTGAGCAGAGGGCGGCGGGCTTGAGAGCGGTGCGGCTGGCGGATTCGACGAAGGAGCAGCAGGAGGGCTTGCGGCAACCACATGTGACGACCCCGGGCTGGACTCCGCTTAGTCCATGGTGAAAGCCGAACCGGATATCGTCCTCTTTTGGAAGGCCAAACAAATTAGTTCGCTTTCACAACGAAACACAGCGTCTCTATGGCATGGCGGCGGTGTTAACAATACTACAGTGAGAATAAAAGTTACTTCTTTCTTTGCGTGAACATTTGGGCGGCGTTATGCAAATCTTCCCACATCGTGACGTAGACATGTGGGGGCGTGTTAGAATGAGCCGTTTTAGGTAGGCGTAGTTGACTCTTAACTTTTATAAAGAATATCTCTTTGGATTTGAGACTTTAGTCTTTGCAACTTTACAGATCTTCTTTATGCACCAAGAGCTTGTAACACTTCAAAGAGAAAGGAAAAATTAAAATCGCATCATATGACCCCTTTAAGATAAAACAGGTTAAGTAAAATATGCTGAATATATAATATCTACAAATATTTATAAAATGCTAGCTATATAGACTGTGGGAATGTATTTTTTTGGGGGGGTGACGTGAAAAGAGTGATGCGAGAAGACGGATGCTGCATTCCAATTTGCCTGCTTATACTATTCCCTGAAAGTATGAACTCTTTTTGTGAAGAAAAAGTACACACTTTTGAGTATGTAGCAGAATAGTAGGCAAGCTTTGGGACATGCTACGTTGTAACTGCGTCTTTAACAGATGCTCTATTGCTTAGTTAGGGGCCACTCACATATCGCGCCTAAAAACGCGTGGAAAACGCTAGACGCGCCGCTTTCTGCTTTTTCCCAAAGCGTTCGGGCGCTTGCGCTCCGGAGGCGTCTGCCGTTGGTACAAATATTTATAAAATGCTAGCTATATAGACTGTGGGAATGTATTTTTTTTGGGGGGGTGACGTGAAAAGAGTGATGCGAGAAGACGGATGCTGCATTCCAATTTGCCTGCTTATACTATTCCCTGAAAGTATGAACTCTTTTTGTGAAGAAAAAGTACACACTTTTGAGTATGTAGCAGAATAGTAGGCAAGCTTTGGGACATGCTACGTTGTAACTGCGTCTTTAACAGATGCTCTATTGCTTAGTTAGGGGCCACTCACATATCGCGCCTAAAAACGCGTGGAAAACGCTAGACGCGCCGCTTTCTGCTTTTTCCCAAAGCGTTCGGGCGCTTGCGCTCCGGAGGCGTCTGCCGTTGCTCAGCAACCGTGACCCGCGCTCTCCATGAAGACTCGGGAGTTTCAGCAAAGGATAAATGGATTTGCAGCACTAAAGATAGAGTGGGGGGACTATGACATCATGCATCGCACTGGTTCCTCGACAAAAAGCCAATAGGATTTTTCCACAGGCTTTTGGATTATTGCGACAAATAAGCTCTGTGTTCAATCATAGTTCATGAAACTAACACGTTTTGTCCATCAAGATAATCTTCACAAAATAATATAACTTTTATGAATTTTGATGCCTAAATAAAAGCGCTAAAATGTAAAAGCTAAACTTAGGCTATAAACGAACTACACCTTCACGGTCGCTCGCCTTCAACGTCACCACCACGCTTCCCACAACTTTTTCAAACTTATTTTTAACACGTTCAGTGAAAAGGATTTAGTCTGTATATG